CAAGTTGCCGGCCGGGCTTAAACCACGACAGATGCCAAATTCAATTCCAAATAATGTGGCTAATACAAAAAGCACAGGTAGCTGATTAAAAAACATAGGTAGCAAGCAGTACATTGCTTGCCAGCATGTTCATCTGGTTCCAGCTACAGGATAAAGTTGAAGACTGAACTATAGGCCTCAATCTATGGCCCACTCACACCAAGACTTTCAAAATATGGTAAATATTATAATATGAAAACTCTGGAGATACTGTTTCCACCCTACAAGCAAATACAGAAGCAATGTACACTCATGATGAGATAAAACTAAAGGGAATAAGCATCTCCAGCAGCTGGAAACTATTTGTAAAATTGAAGTCATTACCTCACTTGCTAAAAATCCATCCTAAAACCCAAGAACTGCATTATACTGTAGAAGCCTAAATTACTTAAGAGGAACATTTATACGAAGCACTTCACCTACCAAAATACTCTGAAAACTTCTCTGCATTTAGGGTAGCACTCATGAGTATTACTTTCAGATCCAAACGAATATTCAAAAGATCTTTAATAATGCTTAGTAGAACATCTGACTGAAGGTTTCTTTCATGAATTTCATCAAGGACTACATGACTAATGCTGGACAAGTGCCTAAAAGAGAAGAGCAGAAAGTTAAGCATTTGTTTTTAGCAAAATTAAAAAAACAACCGAGACTGACAGAAACAGCTCAGTAGTCACGTCATTTCATAATTGTATTCAGTTTCTTATTAAACAGGAAAACTTACTTATCTGACTGGAGCCACTGGAGGACAATTCCTGTAGTACAGTATAATATTGAACCTTGTTTCCTTGGTAACCGACTGAAAGAGACACATTCAGGATTTCTCAGTTCTCTTCTGTATTTTACATAGTGCTTTACAAGCTTAAAATCAAATGCAGATAGTCATTACAGACATTATGAAGTACGTCTCATTCTCTAACTTGCTCGCCTGGAGATCAGCTGGAGGAACAAAGGAATCAGGCCACAGTCACAGCACTTTTGCTGACAGGTTATGAACCACTTGTCATCCAACAGAAGCCCTGACTTCCCAGACATCATTTTTCAACATTTACTTGCACATTGATCTGCCAACCCCAAATTCTTGCAGCTAAGCTCAGCACAGATGACAGGTAAATATACTGCAGTATAACATTATTGATTAAATAATAAAAACATAAATGAGATTCTATAAACTCGAGTAGGACAAGGGGGAATAGTTTCAAACTCACAGAGGGGAGATTTAGGTCAGATATAAGGAAGTTCTTCACTGTGAAGATGTTGAGACACTGGCACAGGTTGCCCAGAGAAGCTGTGGCTGCCCCATCCCTGGCTGTGTTCAAGGCCAGGTTAGACGGGGCTTTGAGCAACCTGGTCTAGTGGAAGGTGTCCCTACCCATGGCAGGGGGTTGGAACTAGATGATCTTTAAGATCTTTTCCAACCCAAACCATTCTATGATTCTACAGTTGTATTAAAATGCTCAAAGGACTAAGCTGTCATCTCTCACCAGCAGTTTTGATGCAATTGTAATCGAGATTCCATTATTTGCTGGCAGCATTTATGTGGCTTTTGGGTTGTTTGGGTTGTTTTTTTTTGACTACTCCAAATGTAATAGCTTTTGCTCTATGGCACTAGGTCTACAAACTCTTGCCAATCCACCTAACTTTATTACCTGATACCAGTGGGATTACTCAATAGGTAACAATAGGTAGCAAATACGAAAGTTTTCCACAGAAATACACCTTGTAGCATTCTCTCTTTTAGCATTTCTGGTTTTCCTTGAAATTCATGGATCAGGAGCATCAGTTTTATCTCTATCGAGAGCAGGACCTTTTAGAAGAGCTGAAAAAAGGGCTTGGACAAAGTACAATTTGGTACTAGCAATTGTCACATGCTGCATAAAATACAACAATTGCACTCAAACTTTTAACTACTTTTCTAAAACCTTATTCTCTACACCAGATAGCCACAGGAATTCCTTTTGGAGACGATATCAGAATGTCATCTAAATGTCATCCACATTAAGAACTACTTTTCACATTTTCTTGCTTGCATAACAATAGATACCACTTTACATGAATGCACAAAAATTGCTGGAGGGAGCCTCTCTTACCTCTGTAGACGAATTTGGTATCCTGTACTCTTGCCATTACCGCATGTTTCTGCCCTTTCAGCAGCCACCCTCTCGGCCACCTTAGAAAAATAAATAAAAATCAAAAGAGTGCACTAAAAAAATTTTTAAATCCCAAAAGGCTGACCTATGATTTAGCTACTCAGCAGCAGGCAATACCTAGGATCAAGATGTTACACAAACAACAAAGAAACACCCTGAAAATCACTTTCTCCCCTCCACTGAGAACAGTGTTTCCTGTCAGCAATCTAAGAACAGGTTTGTGACCCAGGAGACATTTCAGGAGATGTTTTAAAGGAATACAACCATTTAGGCATTAGCAATACCCTCACTCTTTCAGCAGGGTGAGCTTTCCTTACAGGAAGTAAGCCAAATTCTCTCTTTAACATACCACTAAAGGGCCTTGAAACATTAGTGTTTACCTTAATTCACTTTTGCACTGCCCAAATCCATTAAAATCACAGATAAAAGCCAGGATTAAATACAGGGACAAATGTGGCCTTCAGTGACAGTACTCAACAACCAAAACTTAGAAAATATCGAATTAGTGTATATTAACAAAATTGTCATTTGCAGTAAAATTTAAGACAACTAAAGCTGAATAAATAAAAAGACACCTTCACTGTCCGCTACAGGCTGAATGCTTTAAACTTAGTATGAGAACACGTGAGGGCAGAGACATCATTCGTTCATTCAATAATTGCAAGTCAGGCTGCAATTTTTCCTCAGATTTGTTGGGGGGAAGGGAATCAGAAGTACTTCAGTTTGTCAAAGTAGCACTTACCGAGATAGCGCTGATCCTCCTAGGCTGCGTACAAACAATCCTGCATGTAGACCCTTTCCCTCGCTCAATGTAATCATCCAGGATGAACTGTGTCACTTGGGTTGTCTTTCCACAACCAGTTTCACCACTTATCACAGTTACTCGATTATTATTTATAAGGTTTACAAGTTCCTGTTTCCAAACAAAGAGAAAACAATAAATGTTTTACTGTTTGAAACAAATTTTAGAAGGATTTTGACAATTCTCTGCTACTGTACAGTGAACTTAGGAGAAAGTGTCATAGCAACTAAAATAACAAATACTCATCTGTTTCTTGTAATGCTAAAAAAAAAAAGAAGTTTGAACCACGCAGAAGTAAATCCTGCACATCTGCACTTCACGTGTGTGAGGTTTAAACTGCACTGAATCTGAATACTAGTTTAAAATACTTAACAATTTACGAAAACAATATAAAATAACTAAAATGAAAGCCTGAAATAAGTTTTTAAACTTTTCTCCCTCCTACTTTCCTTGTGTCTGTCTTCGGTGACTGAAAACAAGCGTTTTCCCTCTTGGACTCCAAGACTGTACTAACTAAAGATTTTCAGCACAATATTTTAACATTTCTTGTACCAACAAACAGATTCCTTACACTCCCAGCTTCTACCCATAATCCAAAGGATTGTAAAGGGGCGTATAACTATTTTAAGAAACAAACACTAACAGGAAGGATGACATTATGACAAACACGTTAACTTTAGAAAGAAAACTCACTAATGGTTCATTCAGCCACAAAAGAAAACATAACAGAATACCCAATTTCTATTTCATATAGGCAACATCAAATGAACAATAAACATTAATTAATAATAACCCATACTATCACTCATGTTATACTTTTAACTGGGAAAGTAATGGCAGTAAAAGCCAGCAGTACAGCCACTAACTCTGTGAGTAAAAAAGGTTAATCAGCATTATGTTCAATTCTAACTTGGGCAAATGTTAAAGAAATAGCCACAATTTTGTATATGTAAGAAAGTTGGACAATTTACGTAGTCATCAATTACTCTATGCAAAATCCAAGTAACTAGGAACATTCTAGAAGTTTAACTGGCAGAGAAAGACCACCTATACTTTAAAAAAAAAAAAAGTGTACTTAAATGTATTCATTCAATACCATTTCCATGACTAATGCTGGCCCTGCTGATAAACCCGTATATAGCCCCAGAGTAACTTCATACATAGCATGAAGCAGTGAACCTGAGCTACTTTCGGGGAAGAAGTCAAACCCAGAGTTAAAACTTGGGGGGCTTCAGCACCTTTATAAAAGGCAACAGAAGTTTCCTGTTGATCCCAGTTAAACAACCGTTTTCTTTTTCTTTTTTTTTTACAGCAGAGCCACAGAAACAAGTATTCTTTCAACTTCAATACACATTTACCTGTCTCATCCCATAGGAAGGGAGTTTCTCTCGGAATCTCTGTGGAAAAAGAAAACAATAGTATATATAGAATCATAGAATCATAGAATAGTTAGGGTTGGAAAGGACCTTAAGATCACCTAGTTCCAACCCCCCTGCCATGGGCAGGGACACATTCCACTAAACCATGTCACCCAACGCTCTGTCCAACCTGGCCTTGAACACTGTGCCAGGGTTGGAGCATTCACAACTTCCTTGGGCAACCCATTCCAGTGCCTCACCACCCTCACTGTAAAGAACTTCTTCGTTATATCTAAACTTCCCCTGTTTAAGTTTAAACCCATTACCCCTTGTCCTACCACTACAATCCCTAACCAAGAGTCCCTCCTCAACATCCTAATAGGCCCCCTTCAGATACTGGAAGGCTGCTGTGAGGTCTCCACACAGTCTTCTCCAGGCTGAACAGCCCCAACTTTCTCAGCCTGTCTTCATACAGGAGGTGCTCCAGTCCTCTTTAAACACCTTTTCAAGACTGAAGTAACATAACCGATGTCATCTATGATCTAGGCTAAACTGTGAAATAACACAAAAAATTGTTCAGCTAATACTTATATAAACATAGGCCCAATAGAAACATGTTTAATTCTGTGTATGTTTCAGTTTTGTTATTTAGCAAACTTATTTAAAACCAACAGCTTGGTACATGAAGAGGTGAACAAATACAGTTGCAAGATTAGGGCCCTGGATCAACAGGAGAAACATCTGCTCACAGAAAGTGTTCTATTTAACAGCTTTATATATGGCTATTAGACCAACATAAACTATGTTTTTAAGAGGCAGTTCCTTCACAGCCCATTTTTGTGTTTTCAGTTTTACATATAAATGCAGGCATGCAATCTGTTAAAAACAGAGAACCCCACCCAACTAAACAATGAGCAAGCTTGAAATTTTAGCTTTTACACAAGTAGAAGTCTGTTCTATAATAAATCACTGTGCTATTGACATGTATGCATTTCGTAAATTCTGTAGCAAATGTAACATCATGACAACTTCCTAGTAAATAAATTGCAAGTTATGTTTTCAGGCTACTTTAATTAAAATAAATTTAAAAAAATATTAAAAATCCAATTAAAAGCCTTCTATTTAACACACGGAAAAGTACCTGCATTTCAATATATCTAGGATCAGATTTCTTCTTTCTTAAGTCTTCTTTAAGTTGCTCATCTAAATTAGTATCCTGCTCATTTTTTTCAAAGAGATATTCCACATCCCGATCAAGAGATGTTTTTTCTAAGAGTGGTCTCCGTCTTACAGGAGCTTTTCCAGCATCTGATTTCACTTTAGCAGGCTGTTCTGGAGTAGGTCTGAAATAAGTGCAGAGAACAGAGATTTCCAAGATTATCCGAGATGTGCCAGGTCACTATAAAGAGTGCACTGAACCATACAAGGCAAACCTTAAACCTGGTTTTCAGACATTACACTCAGGAGTTACTCGACCACCAGCCAATAAGAATATGATGTATGTCATGAAAACAATTAAAGTTTGAAAATTACCAGCCATCAAAAAACTGACATCTGTTACCTAGAAGCGTAACATGTTCTTTGTATCTAACAAAGCAACAAAACAATCCAGAGAACTACTGTGGAGTCCACTGCCAGAACCACTGCCCTGTAACCAGATCATTCACAAAATGGAAACCCAAACTCCCCAGTTCACTGGACTCAGGAGTAACACTCCCGACTGCCCATTTCACTGCTATTATTTAAAATCCTCTATGTGTTAAGAGCGGACACTATTTCAGAGAGTCTGAGAAAACATTCCAAGATTATTTATTTTCCAATAACTGACAAATGAAGTCAAATGCCACTGCTGGAAGAGTAATTCCAGAAGCTAGGGGAGCTTAAAATTTTCATATACCTACTCCAGTAGTCCTGGAGATCAATTACAGGATTTTACAACTTAAAAGAAAAATTAACACCCCAAAGTCAGCAATAACCTGGAAGGGAGTTTTACAGCAATGGTTACAACCAGCTGTTTCATCATGGCAGTACATGTGGAAAAGACTGAGTGTTTGTTAACTTAATTCACTCACTCTATGTAAATAACTTGATTTATCTTCCTGCCAGTTTGTGGGAAACTTGTTCAAGTAAAAGTAAACAAAAGCATTAGTAACTGTTTCTCTTTACCCTTCTTCATCTCCAGACCACCAGGACATGGCTTCTTGCTCTTTTTCATTTTTAGTTTGGACAGTGTTCAAGAGCTGCACAATTTGCTCTTCTCTGCGTTCATCCATACGCACAACGGCTCTCTGACAGAAAAGCAAAACAATTCCCATCAACATGCACCCGGCACATAAACAAACACACTCATTTCTAACACGGAGGCCCGGCCCGGCCCCCGCGCTCTACTCGTTAAGAGCTCCGTTAAGCTGCCTCCCTCCAGGCCGGGCCCTAGCAGCCCCACTCCCGTGCTGCGTCGTAACAGGACGAAACGCCCCAGCACCGGGAGCACATGCGGTGCCTCTGCCCCCAGGGGGGCCGCCCCTCACCTGCTGACGGTCCGTCTCCTTGCTTTTCTGGCCCTGCTTCCGCGCGTACCACAGCCCGATTTCGCGGCCCTTGAGGT